TATATAGCAACTTGTCTCGGACCGTAAAGCGACCGCTGTGTTGAGAGGCACATGCGGCGGCAAAAAGAAGATCCAAGTTGAGATCGTTGCGTTGTTCTCTCTGGAAATCAGCCGCGTTGGGGAACGTGCTTGTAACAGCAGCAAGGCAGTCGTCAAATTCTCAGCATCGCAGTCAGTAGTCGCAAGAGGAATCCGGGAGAGGCAGTCTGCGTCAGCGTGACGACGGCCGCTCTTGTACGACACCGTAAAGTCGTATTCCTGAAGTCGCAGCGCCCAACGTGCGAGGCGGCCAGAGGGGTCACGCAAACCGACCAGCCAGCATAACGAATGGTGATCGGTAATTATCTTAAATGGCCTCCCGTAACGATAACAACAAAACTTCTGTACAGCGAAAACAGCTGCCAGACATTCCTGTTCCGTAACTGTGTAATTGCGTTCTGATTTGCTCAGGCAACGGCTGGCATATGCCACGACATGCTCTGCACCATTGTGGCGTTGTACAAGCACCGCGCCTACACCGATACCACTAGCGTCTGTGTGGACCTCAGTCGCTCAAGATGGATCGAAGTGACGCAACAGGGGTGCTGACGTTTGTACTAAACTTAAGTTGTGAGAATGCGGCGTCACACTCTGGTGTCCAGTTGAAGGTTGCATCCGGTCGCAAGACGTTTGTCAGTGGATACACGATCTCCGCAAATCGTGGAACAAAACGACGAAAATATGAGCATAGGCCGACAAATGAGCGAAGTTCTCGTGCGGACTGCGGTGATTTAAAAGAGCTCACTGCTATCTTGCGAGGATCGGGTCTGACGCCATCCTTGTCGACCAAGTGCCCCAGCACGAGAGTTTGACGTTCGCCAAAGCGACATTTTTTAGAATTCAGAACCAGCCCGGCTTTTTCGATGCAGTCGAGAACAAGACTGAGACGGTGGTTATGTTCCTCAAACGTACGGCCCAAGATAACAACATCGTCAAGGTAGCACATGCATATCTCCCATTTTAGACCACGTAATAACGTGTCCATGAATCTGCCAAAGGTGGCTGGAGCATTACAAAGGCCAAAAGGCATGACATTAAATTCAAATAAGCCATCCGGAGTTATGAAAGCAGTCTTTTCTTTGTCGCCGGGTTCCATAGATATTTGCCAATAACCTGACCGCCAATCAAGCGTTGAAAAATAGGAAGCGGCATGCAAGCAATCTATGACGTCATCAATCCGTGGTAAGGGATATACATCTTTCTTCATCACAGTGTTTAGACGCCTGTAATCTACGCAGAATCTCCAGGAGCCATCCTTTTTCCTGACAAGAATTACCGGGGCTGCCCACGGGCTGGACGACTCTTGCACGACCCCTTTGTTCATTATGTCCTTTACTTGTTCGGCGATAACTTTGCGCTCAGAGGATGACACTCGGTAGGGCTTTTGGCGGATGGGGTGTGCAGAGCCAGTGTCTATTCTGTGACGAGCGCGAGACGAGGGTAACTGAAGGGGTGCATCTCTATGTTTGAAGTCGAAAGCCGAAACCAGCAACATGCCGGGAAAGGACCTGCACCAGCGCTTGCCGTTCCGTCGTACTGAGAGTCTTGCTGATCATAGCGAGCATTAGATCTTCATTATGGCGAATATAACAAGCAGAGGAAGAGGGGGGGGAGGTCCGTAGCTATTGCTGCTATCGAGTTGCATGAGGCTTCATCAAAGAGAGCTATCTTCATCCCGCGAGGAAGCACAACCGGCGTGGCAGAACAGTTCAGCGCCCACAATGTTGCTACTCCTTTCGTCATGCACACAACAGAACAAGGCACAAGTATGTCTTCTTAAAACAGTTCTTGCGCAGAGGCCCCACTACGAGGTCAACACAAGCATCATCAACCGCTGTGGAAGAGAGTCGAACGGGTGTCAGGCACCAAGATGGTGCCATCACTTCATCAATCACACTAAGTGTGTTCCTGTCTTCGCCACGGTAGTCTTCTTCGGAAAGCGACAGTAGAAACAAATTGTTTAGTGATATTTCCCCACTACCACAGTCAACGGAAGCACCGCATTGCTCCAGGAAATTGATACCAAGAATGACATCGTGCGAACAACGAGATAGAACCAGAAATTCCGATACAAATACTTTTCCAGCCAATGAAACACTGACAGCACATACACCAAGAGGATTAAGCCACTCGCCGCCTACACCACGGAAGGTGATTGTATCGTCCCATGAAAACATAACTTTGCGACCTAAGCGGTTTCAGAAGGCGAGGCTCATCACAGACACAGTCGCCCCAGTGTCAACGAACGCCATCGTCGGTATTCCATCAATAAACACATTCACTTTGTTTTTGATCATAACAATAGGCAGAGGTATATCTTGAAAAGACCGTCCGGCGACCTCACCTCCATTGGCCGCGGATGCTAGTTTCCCAGCGGCGGCGAAGAACGACGCAGAGGAGACGGCGAGCGATGAGAACGGTTGGATGGAGGTGTCAAACTCCGCTCGGATGCTGGCGAATCACTGCGTCTGGTCTCGTGCAAAAAACGGTCCCTTGGAAACAAGTCGGTTGTCCGCAGGTCATATGAAGCACCGGGTCTTAGTGGCGAAGACATGGCTGGTGTCCTTCGTGATTGGCGGTGTTGTTGGCGGCAATACCGAGCAATATGCCCAGTGAAACCACAGTTGTAGCACACGGGAGGGTCACGGTTTATACTATATTCCTGGGCCGCTGCTGTCGGCGAGGAAGTTCGTTATCACGCGAAGAACGGGTTTCTGCCACTCTCTGGAATTCATTGTATTCGTAGTAGGTTGGTCGTAGGGTTGGTACTGTCCTTGCCGCAGAGGGACGTAGTCCGGCTGAGAGCCCTGAGTATAAGAATGTGGCTGTGCTCGTCATGATCGTGCGTCATAGGCAGGGCCTCTATCGTATAGACGTGGCTGATACTGAGGTGTGGCATCAGAATCCTCAAAGCCCTCCGCCACTCGGTGCGAGGAGAATGAAGCAACGTTTCGCTCGAACTCTGGTGGCTGATAGGGGGGTTGAGTGCTTGGGCGGTTTGCCACTTGCGCGTACAAGCCGAGTTCTTCACGTACTATCTGCCGGATTGTTGTTGCAAGATCAAGCGCCTGGTTGCTGTCTATGCTCGCGATGGTCGTCACATTGGGTAGCCTGCCGAACTTTGGCGTGATGCGCCTCGTCTTTAGTTGCTCAAAATTGCGGCAATGACGAATGACATCGGTGACAGATGTCAAGGTGTCTTTCGCGATGAGGAAACTGTAAACATCCTCGGCGATTCCTTTTAGAATGTGCCCGACTTTGTCTTCCTCAGACATTCCGGGGTCAATGGTCCTACATAGCTTTATGACTTCCTCAATGTAGGTCGTGCAAATTTCACCTGGCATTTGTGCGCGTTGCATTAGCGTCTGTTCTGCTCTTTTCTTTATCGTTGTTGGGTCGCCGAAGCGCTCTTTGATTTCAGAAACAAATCTGTCCCATGTCGTTAGCGTTTCCTCCCGATTCTCGTACCACATTAATGCAGTATCGGTCAGAAAGAACACGATGTACAAAAGTTTAGAAGCGGCATCCCATTTGTTAGCGGCGCTCACCCGTTTGTAATGGATGAGCCAAGCCTCGACGTCTTCATCTGGTCTGCCGGCAAAGGGACGAGCATATCTTTGTATTTCAGTACAACGCTCCAACGATTATGCGCGCAATGTACGAAGACAACGATGAAACGCAGAAAAAAAACCAATGAACGCATCAGAAGGTAAACTTTATCCTCTTGAACAAAAAATGAACGTTAAGGAGCTCAATATACTTGGCTGCAAAAGGCATGCATAGAAGTTGCTCAGCTACAACGCTTGTGCAATCGGTGAAGTTTGTATGCCGTCTCTGCTCTTGTGACGAACCACCAAAAGGGAGAATTTTACTGTTCGTCCGCGGGCTGTTGTGGCGTCGCGGTGAGACGGTGGTTGTCGCTAATCAAAATGTTCGTGGAGCGTTTCGCGGGTTTCTCAAGTTGCACAGAATATTTTTCGTGAAACGATTGCCCATAGTCACCATTTGCCAGCCCACTCGTTCACTGCATATGCCCCTCTGCAAAGTATCTTCGATCTAATAAAAAAAAAGTAGGAGTACTTTGGCACGAGTAACATTTTGCAGGTTCGACTTATCACCGAAATCATGATTACTGTCCGAGTAATATCGTAAGCTGTTTAACAATGAACCAGCTCAGAGAGAAAAAGAAATACATAAAATGGCATAGCAGGAAGGTTAACCTGCTACTAGTAATGAGATCGCTCAGATTTTTGTGGAGCGAGAATTTGTTGCTAAGGATAGAGAAAAATTGGCTCAATCTGGGCTATAACAACTTGCGGATTTTGATGTAAAGATCGTATATCCACAGGTAGCCCCTGGACACGCTTAAAGAGCGTCACTAGCAGCGAGAAAGCAGCTGTACAATCGGCTGTCTGCTTTCTGTTCTTGTATAGGCGGTACCTCGGTATGCCAATAAAAAAAATAAATACATATATATATCTATATATATATAGATATATATAATATACATATATAACAGTTAGAGCTTTGCGTCCCACAACCGCGATAGGATAATAAGGGAGGCCGTTATAGAATTGATTGATTGATTTGTGGGGTTTAACGTCCCAAAACCACCATATGATTACGAGAGACGCCGTAGTGGAGGGCTCCGGAAATTTTGACCACCTGGGGTTCTTTAACGTGCACCCAAATCTGAGTACACGCGCCTACAACATTTCCGCCTCCATCGGAAATGCAGCCGCCGCAGCCGGGAATCGAACCCGCGACCTGCGGGTCAGCAGCCGAGTACCTTAGCCACTAGACCACCGCGGCGGGGCGGCCGTTATAGAAGGCTGCTGATCTTGGCCTGCTGGTGTTATTTAACACAAACCGAAATTGCAGAACGCGGGCATTTAGCTCGAAGTAGAATGAGTCGAGCTGTAGTGTCTTGTACGCGAACGCCGCAAGAAGTAATTACTTACCTGGGCGATCTGGTCAAAGCGGCCAAAGAGCTCGTTCAACGTCTGCACCAGATCCGATGCGGAGAGTTGCTCTGACAGTCTGGTGAAGTTGACAATGTCCGCGTACAGGATACTGCAAAAGAAACCGGAAATACAGGGGATGGTTTTGCTGAGAATAACCAACTCAACTGTCATTACGGGTTGTAGAAAAATGATGTTAAGGAAGGCGAAATATTCAACGGTATGCCTCTATCGCCATTTTTTAGACATATGTAAATGTAGTATGCGGCGTAGATCTCTTGTGCTGGGTAATTCGAACACTATATTAGCACACACAGGAAGGGGCGGGTGACCATGGTAGTAAGCACTCAACGTTACTGTACCGCATGCACGTGAGGGGGAGATAGCAAAGTACAAAAGCGTGCGCACTCCTTTCATCTTTGGCAGTTGCTCGGGAGATTTCAAGTTGACCGGTTGTGCCGCCCGCAATCTCCTACGCCAGCACAGCTCTCGCCGACTGCGTAGATCTCACCGACTAGTTCACCCTTTGCGACCTCCTGATGCTGTGCAGCTCTCGTCATGTGGTGCCTCATCCTCGGACTTGTTCGACCGGCCCAACTTTCCTATCTCCTTTTTTTTCTCTCACTTGCCTGTCCCATTTCATTATATATATCTTTCTACTATTTTTTTAGCCCTCCTTCCCTGACACTGCGCCATGTTGCCCAAAGACACTGCGCCATGTTGCCCAAAAGGCAGAAGGAAATTAGGTGCTTTCCTCGCCTTCTCAAGAATCACACAATCACGCAATCAGTCTCCGTTCAATTCATGACGCTGTGTGTGATGACTTCGAGGTGCTCTGAAGCGGGCGGTGCCACACTCTTATACATCAATCATTTCACAGTTAAATAATTGTGATCAAAGTACATTTACTTGCAGCGTTACAGATTAAGACAAGAGCAACGAAACAACCATGATGAAGTGCAAAAACATCTTTATGCCGCTCTGCTTTACATCTCCATGTATACTTACTTCACTCACGCATTCAGAGGGAAGTGTAAGATTGAGACCTCTCTGAAATTTAGGTTTTTCTGTGTATATATACAGGCACAGATGAAAACGCACGTCTGAACATGCATTAGGTATGGTTCAACACTGGCGCCTGCGGAAAAAAATACTCTAGCCGCACTTCTAACCTACTTGCATACGCTAGCTATATAGTGGCCAGAGTCCGAGCCTGTTTATATCATAATTGTAACTAATGCCAGCATTACAGACTTAAAAAAACGAAGGTCACATAAAGACAGCTACACATAATGGGCAAGAGACGATATGTGCTACTGCAGTTTTCAGTATTTTTTTTATGAAACACAAAAAAAAACAAAAAGAACAGGAAAAACTGACGAGCGCTTAAATGTTTATGTTCAGTGAAAAAAAGCTATTTCTTTGTGTGATGATCGAACTCACTTCAATTGTATTGCATCCATAATATGTCAAAAATGAATGTGAGTCGTGTATATTTTTTAAATTGACATCATAAAAGTCTACTTGATAACTGAAAGCTGCACCATGGAGTCACGTTAGAGAGCACACAGGCTCATTTCACGGCCAACATGGAGAACGCTGGCTGGAAAATAGATGGCCCAACAGGTGAAGAGTTGTGAAACCCAGTGGGCCTGAAAAGCCTAAACCTATAGCACTCGTTATAGAGCCAAACAAGAAAGCGAGGTCTTCAAATGTCAGGCTGTTTTAAAATGTTTTTTTCTCCACTGCGTGGGTTTTAAAGAACGCATTTGACCCGAGAATTTGAGAACCGGGCATCGTTGAGTGCTGCAAGCAAAAGGCAGGCGTGTGCTTTAGAGCCTATCCCACACTGACGCAAGGAAAACGTGTTCCTTCGGCATGAGGGCACCCACACGCAAGATTTTCACTGACGTTTTCCCGATACAAAGTGGGCGAAGAGCGGCCCTTCCCGCATTCTGTGCAGCGTCCGCCGAGAGAACGCTGCCTCACGCGACGCACACGGGGATTACAGAGTGCGCGACCCGGAAAGCCGGACTGTAAATACAAGTTCGGCTTGCAACGCAGTTACCGCGACCAGGTGAGGCAGGCACGCAGAAACGCGAGTCGTCGCGAAGGGTTGCTGATGCGGCGCGCCGGCCAGAGTAGGTGCACTGAGCGGTGCGGGAAGGCGATGAAATAAATGCATTCCGGCTCCGTCCTTCTGTCTACCACCCGCGCAGCACTCAAGGTTTTGGGACGGCACGGCTGTTATGCCACTGTCGCGTTCTCTTTTAGCCGCGGGAATGCTTGCTCCCTTTATCTGCGAATCATTCGCTTCCGCCCAAACAGATGTTAAGTGCTTGTGTCAAATTGGAGACTGAATAACAATGATCACGCAGTTGTAGTACTGTTTCGGGTCTTGTCTTCTATGAACCTCATCACACTAGCGTACACACCAACTATGGAGTAAAATGTCGCAGCTGCATGTAAAGTAATTTTGCGTTACCTTCGAAAGCGGCACAACGCTTGCACAACTACACTCTAAGCCAAAAATGACCAAAATGGGAGCAACGGCTGTTTTTACTCCTTCAGACCGACTGTTACTCTCCGAAAAGACCAAGCGGAACAAGATGGCCGACTTGTTCGAGAATGGGGGAGCAACTGTATTCATCTTAAGTTTGTAAGGGAGCAACGGAAGGAGGAACCGCTGTAATTGCTCTCGTCACGCAACGGTTACTCCCCGGCAGGACACCGCACACAAATATGCATGCCGCCCACATTGATATTCATGGGCCAGATTATTGTTTGTTCTGTGTGCCAAACTTCACCAAACCAAAACAGTGATTTATTTTAGCATCCGTAGATAATAAGATAGCAGCGCTGGCTGAACACAGAAGGCCTGAGAATACAGTACGGCAAATACCTAACACACGCAGCAGCAGGATGGAGAGTTGGCACGTCAAAGCGGACCGAACGCCGAAACACGTGCAAAACAACGATAAAAAAAGCCTAGACACGCCGTTCATCCGCGAAGTAAGGGCGTCAAAGTCGATCAAGCACCGAAACACGTGCATAAGGAGCCCCCCCCCCCCCCGCCCAGATATATCAGAGAAGAAAAAAAAAGCGGACCCAGACGCGCTTCTCATCAGCCATACACTTAGTAGCACGCTTCACCGTGTACTTTGAGGGCAGAATGACAAATCTGCGCCATCTGCGCCCGCACGACAACTGTGGCGCTAGTGTAGCAAACGATGTAAGTTACAAAGTAATTTTTATTCAGTGTTTATGTTGACTAGCACTAAATAAAAATTACACTCAACTTTTTATATTCATTTATGAGTTTTAGTGTACCTCAGTTTTTTTTATAATTGTATTAGGAGAACACACTGAAATTATTGCGCTGACGCCTGTGCTGCCACTGCTCGACGTTTTTTTTTTTCGGCGCAACTAGGTTCGCGTTCGCACTACTTACTCATTTTCATATGGTCTGTGGTTGGCGAGCACATGGACGTGCGGGCTTGTGAGCTATGTTTTGATCGTGTGTGTGTGTCGCAGATTTGCGTTTCTACTTATTCGTGATGAAGGTTAGTGTATATTTATCTTTATGGAGCGCGAAGTAGTTGTGGATTTTGCTGCTGGGTGGAACAAACACATCGTAAACACGTCTTCAGCTATCTGCAAGCCTGTTCGCTCGTCGGACAAAGGACTGTGCATGCATCAGCGTGCAGGTGAGTGGCACTTCCAGCAACATTTAATGCTCTTACAATACATTGTTGAGTGGTTGCGCTATTGAAAGAGAAATGATTTGCTCTTATTCATCGTATTCATTGCTAGCCGTATCGGAATAAATTACCTCGATTACCGCCTGCATACCCTCTTGCTTCCCCTGTCACCACGGCAGTGCCAGTGTACTTTTGCAGTTAAAAGTTCATTTCCGCAACACTACCTCGCTTGAAAAAACATTGGGGCGGGGTTGTAGCTGCATTCATACTGGCACTTTTCTACCATTGGCTTTATGTAATGTTAACGGCTGAGTGTTGGGGCCTTGGGCCGCATTTTTTAGAGATGTAAAGTGTATGTAAATCAGTAAGTGAACAAATCATTGTCGCATCACTTCACTGGCATAGCCAGGCGGTTGCGCACAGAATTTTTTTAGGCCGGGCGTAGGGAGCCCAAATTGACGACCATATTCGCTTGCCCGGCCTATTCAGATAAGCAGCACCCCCCCCCCCCTCCCCGCACGCCTAAAAAGAAAAACAAATCTGCCCACATCACTGCGTCACTTGCTTCACCTCTGCGCTGAACGTACTATTTTATAATCGCACCATCAAGCGAGCAGTTTACATATTGACAGAACAATTGAAGGAGGAATGACCCAAATCTTTCAGATTTCTTTAGTGATGCAAAACCTTAGCAAAACTGAATATTGTAAAAGACAATCATAAATGCTGTATGTTCTCGTTAGCGCTGTCATTATTCTGCATCATGAAATCTTTATGCACTGTGAAAACTTGGCATGCCGTTGAAGTCCAATATCGACGTTAATACCAATCGACGAAAATTTCGACAACCTCAATAACGCCGTTTGGGATTTGCCGCATGCACATAATTAGGCTTACTCCCACTTGGCTGTTCTTAACCTGACTTCACTGCTACCAAATGAAACAATATTTGATGCATGTCTTTTACTTTTTTTTCAGTGATATGACACAAATTTGGTTATACTGCAGATAAAGATGCTCCCAACGATGCTAAAGTACAGAAAGCAAGTGAATTTTGGTAAGTGCAGACTTTTTGTACTACGTATATGAAAGCATCGCTTTTTAGGGGCAAACTGTGCATGTGTTGGCCAGAGAATAGTTCATTATGCCACATGGTTACACTGGCACTGACAACTCGACATGGCTCCGCTGGCCCGTGTGTGTGCTCACACTGTTACCGTTAAGATAAAATGTTTATGTTTTCATTGCAGGGATTGCTGTTTGTACTAAAAAGCCAACTGCCAAGATTTCTTTACGCTGGTACTCCTAAAAGTATGCTTTCCCTATTTACATGGATTTTGGCTTGCACAAAGCATAACACTTGGGCCTAGATTCACAAAGCTGTCCATGCGCAGGCCTTCATAACAGTGTTTCTTGACTTGCCTTTACCCTGTTTTCTGCAGATGTTTCGTGGGTTTAAAAGTGCCACAGCAT